GTACACCTCAAATCCACTGGCTTCAAGCCAGCATAGCTGCAAAATTTGTCCAAGGACTGTAGCCTTTGTGGCCCAACTGCCTTATGAGTTTAGCCCAGGCCCCAGCCTGCTTTTTTCAGCCAGTGGTGGGGTTAGCCGCAACTCTGGTTTCACGGGAGGGTTTCCCTCTGGCCAGGCTGGTCTAAATGCTTTGTCAGTGGGCACTGCCAGAATTCTGCTCTGTATTGTGTTCTCCTCTGCCAAGGTGGCCCAGAGTTTCAATGCAAAGTCCCACAATTACTTCACTCTCCCTCCCTCTGGGCACACAGATTTTGCCTCCATTGGGGAGCTGGCTCAGCACTGCTGGGGGATGGGGGAGGGGTCGCGTAGACAATGCAAGACTGTCTTTTCTGCCGTCTTCAGTGCCTCTTTGCTTGATATAATGTTAAAACCAGGTAGCATGATTGCTAACCTGATTTTTGGTTCTTCTGAAGGAGCTTGCTAGTGTAAATAGTTGTAGAATTTGGTGTTTGTGTGGAGGGACGATTGCTGGAGGTTTCCATTTGGTCATCTTGCTCTGACCTCCTCTGGCGTAAATTTTGAGAAGAATAATCAAAGTGGTGAAGGTATTAGAAATCATGTTTTATTAAAACTGTTTTTAATGAACAGAAAGTGTTTAGCTTTGAGAAAAGGCCCGCCGTATATAAGTGTATTTAGACTTAATCTGTATGGCCTCAATTGATACTACTAGAAAAATGAATAGAATCCGTGAATAACAGATTTGAGATAATTTAAAGCCTTCTTTGGGACAGGCACAGGCTTTGGAATCCCAGGTAGATGTGTTCAGCAGTCAATTATCAATAAGATATAGGATATTAGAGTTGTAAATTTCTTTTTCGTAGCTTGATCCAGAATCAAGACTGGTTTATTTTGTTTCCCATGTTTTATGTGATTGCAGAATATGAGCTTGGTTAACTACCATTTGATGGGAGACTGGAAATAAAAGTATTTGTTTTGTTTTAGAGCAGTCTTAAAAGAACAGCTTCTCATCTGGCAATGCTTATCACAAGGCAGAAGCTCCCTGCTCACACCTCTTTTGTGGTCTAACCCTGTTTCTTTACCTGGTAACTTTAGAAACTCTTAAGAGTTCTGATTTTTCTTAACTTCAGCCCTACCAGACTTCTCCATTCCTAATTACAAGCCAAGTGCTGTTATAAGAAGAGCAGGTGGTAGATTTGAGTCCTTTCACCACTGCTTATTAGGTGTGTGATGTTGGGTATTAAACTTCACCTCTGTCTTTCATTCATACAATGAGGATACTAATAGTTGCTATAACATATTTGTAGGGTTCTGGTGAAGATTAGGAAGCTAATATATGTCAACATATTTGAATTATGGCATTTAATGAATTATTATGTAGTCACTAAGAATGCTAGTTGTGAAACTCTAACTGCATGAAAAAAAGGTCTTTTTTCACAGAGGATATCTAAAATGGAATACGAAGTGATACTTATTTATAAGACATTTAGATATTATATGTGTCTGTAGATAAGGACTGGAGGGGAAATGGGCAAATGAACATAGTTGTTTTGAGGAGGGTAAGATTGCTTTTTAAAATATTTATTTTATGTAGATTTTTATTGTTTGTTGAAGTAATAATAAAGCTCTTATGAAACTGCAAAGTATTTAACAAATGGATGATAATGATTACCTTAGATCTGACTCCCTTCTATCCCTAACTTCCAATAATATTAATACATTGTGTACTCTTAATTCTTCTTTTGTTCTTTATTGTGTAGAGTAAAAAATACATTTTATGATAAAATATTGATATTTCTTCCAGCTATTTCTGCATGGTGAAATTATTTTGTTCTATTATTTAACGGAGTCTGAAGAATGGTGCTTTTGTGTAAATAGTTTGACTTCTTAGTATTTAATTTTGACTATTGCAGGCTAGATCCTATTGATTTTACTGACTTAAGATTGGGACAGCCTTCCCTAGGACAAAGGATAATTAATCATCCATGAATATTTTGTTTGAATGTCAATTAAACACAACCTTCAAAGGTGTTTTATAGGATGGTGCTGTAGGAGTAGTCCAGGTAACCAAGGCAGTCAGTCTTTCAGTTATCTGATACTAGTTTTACTAAGAATTTTTTTTTCTTTTCTCTCTACGATTTAGGATTTTTCAATCAAGATCAGAGATTCAAAATTGGAAAGGCAAATGCCTATTGCCATATGCAAAGTTTTTCTAAGGGAAAGAATGTTTTTGTTAGAGCTGTCTTTTAGTCTGTGTAAAATGTGTGTGCAGTGAGATCTAAGTATGAACAGATTATTTAGTAAATCTGAAATCAGTGTAAGGGAGTTAACTTGGATCACTCAGAAATTTACTTTCAAATACCTAAAAGCAAATGTAGCAAAAGAAGTACAAGACCTCTACTTTCAAAAAAAAACAGTAATAAGAGAAATAAGGCTTAAATGATCAAGAGACATGCCATCCTTATTGATTTGAAGGCTCAATATTGGAAAGCTGTTGTATCTCCACAAAGTATCCTATCAAAACACCACTAGGTACTTTTGCAGAAATTGACAGTCTCACCTTAAAATTCATATGAAAATACAAATGGCTAAGATTAGCCAAAGCAATCCTGAAGAAGAACAAAAGTGGGAGGTTTGCAGTATCAGTTATTAAGACTTATTGTATAACTATTGTAATTAGCATAATGTGGGATTGATGTATTGCTTGACATAGTGACTAATGAGACTGAATAAAGAATGTAGCTGTAGACCCATACATACTTGGTCACATGGTTTATGACAAAGGAAATACTGCATTACAAAGGATGGTCTTCAATAAGTAGCACCGGTGTAATTAAATATCCATGTGGAAAAATGTGTCTTGACTCCTACCTGACATGATACACAGTTCCAGATGGATTGGAGATCTAAATGTAAGAGATGCAATTATAAAGCTTTTAGATAACGCAGGAGAACATCTTAGTGACCAAAAAGTTCTTAAGCAGGACTCAAAAAGTACTAACCATAACATAAAAAATTTGATAAATCATATTTATTTTCATCTAAAGATGCCATTATGAAAGTGAAAAGGTAACTTAGAGTGGGAGAAGATACTCACAATACATATATTTATAAGATGACTCATTAAGAACAAATTAAAAAAACCCCAAAGAACAGATAAATAAGATCATCAATAAGAACAAGACAACTGAATAAAAACTTTGACAAGATTGAACAGATACTCCAAAAAACAGGATATTCAAATGTCCAGTAAATACTATATGAAAAGGACTCAACATCCATTACTTATTTGGGAAATATTAATTAGAATCACAATGTAATAACAGTATGTATCAACCAAAATGGCTATAATGCAAAAGATGGAAAATGTTTGCAAGGATGCAGAGTAATCAGAATTCTCATACACTGATTGATTGTAAATTGGTACAACCATTTTAGAAAAATAGCCAGGCGCGGTAGCTCACGCCTGTAATACTAGCACTTTGGGAGGCTGAGGTGGGAGGATCACTTGAGGCCAGGAGTTCAACACCACGCTTGGCAACATAGTGAGACCCTGTCTCTAACAAAAATAGAAAAAATAGCTAGGCATGGTGGTGCGTATCTGTAGGCCTCACTACTTGGGAGGCTGAGGCAGGAGGATCACTTGAACCCAGGAGTTTCAGGTTGCAGTGAGCTATGGTGACACCACTGTACTTTAGCCTGGGCAACAGAGTGAGACCCTAATTCAAAAAGAGAGAAAAAAAAAAAGGAAAAACAGTTGGTTGCTGTGTAGGACCAAAACTGAACATATCCTCTAATCCAGAAATTTTACTCATAGGTATATACCCAACAGAAATGCATAGATATTTGCTAGAATGTATATGGCAGCACTGTTTATAATAGTCAAACCTGGAAGGTACCCAAATGCCTATCACCAGGAGAATGGATAAAGGAATTGTATTATATCCATATAATGTAATCCTATACAACCCCAAGAATCACCTACAACTATAAGATGCAATGTGGATGAATCTCGCAAACATAATGTGGAGCAAAAGAAGCCAGGTACAAAGTGGAACATGCTATATGATTATATTTACATAAAGTACAAAAACATTCAAAACTCTAATCTCTGTTAGAAGACAGGATAGTGGTTATTTCGAGAGGTAGTGACTGGAAGGGAGGGAATATGAGAATGAGTTCTGGAGTGGTGATGTTCTGCTTCTTGATCTAGGTACTACTCAGATAGATTTGTTCAGTTGTAAAATTTTTCAGGTTGTATTGTGCATATATATACTTTTCTACCTGTATATAAACTTCAATGCAGAATTTTTAAAATGAAAAAAAAAAGTTTATTGGCCTCGGGCTGTGATAATCTGATATAACCCATCTCTATTACAGGGTGCTCTTGACTCAGTGGACAGAGTGTTTGAGTCACTGAGTCTGGGCATCCCTTTCTTAGCAAGGCATAACTGGGTACTGCCATCTATTGGGTTCTGAGATTTTCTTTTCCTATATTTGTGTTTACTCCTCGTTTTCATTTCACATAGTCTTTTTCCAAACAGATACTAAGATACTTGGTCAAATTTATCCTCACTAATTACAGTCACATTCCAGTCCTGATATCATTCCCAGGTCATTTATACAAGTCCTAGTAACTATTTCTTTTGTGGTAGAGAAAGAGGCTATGGACTTTTGTGGAAAAGAAAAGATAAAATATACTCTTTATATTGTTGAGATGGTAATTTTTATTCATCTCCATTATTTGAGCAAATCATTTTCCATTTTTGGGTCTCTACTTTTCTCATCTGTAAAAGTTGGGAGTCAATATTGAACAAAACTATGATTTACTAAATTTAGTGGTTGACTGTATTATATAGTTTTTTGTTTTACTTATTTTCTTATTTCCTTGGTGTTTATATAGCTGAGGGACCAGGACTGAAAACAACATTATTTGAGTTACAGTTTCTTGTAAAAATATTAATTTTATTCTTCCATTACAGGTATCAAGAAATGGAAAGAAAAGTAAGCAGAATCTGTCTTACTTCTGAACCCAACATAATTCATTTTCTGCAAATATCTTGGGAGAAAACACTGGGATCTGGTTTTGTTATTACACTTACTGATGGGCAGTCAGCATGGACTGGGACAGGTAATATTAAAAACAAGGTTTTTAAAAGAAAAATTTAAATGTGCTGCTTAGTGATATTTCTTCAGTAGATATTGGGTAGAAATAATATTACTTTTACTTGTTATTGCTATCTAATTTACATATAGATTTGTAATATTTAATACCATTTTTTAATAATTGATATTAACAGAGAAACAAGCATGTGCCCCAGCAAATTCTGGCCCCCATTTGAGTCTTAATAAGTAGGACTTGGTCAGAGTTTTGAAATGATCTTTTTATGGAAAACATAAATAGTCCATTTTATATGTGTCTTCTGTCAGGACTCCAGGAAAATACTGGGAGGTAGAGGGAGGGGGTTGACTGGATCAAGGGGTTGGTGTTGGTTGGGGGTATGGGATGGTGCTGGGTCTCTGTTTGTTTTGTATGATTTTTGTTTGAATTATTTCCCAATGAACATGTATTACATATGTAACAAAACAGAACCATAGCCTAAGGCTTGGTAATGCAAGGTTCAAACCCATTTATAGGATTTTGGCTAGGATTTTATAAAATAGACTTTCGATGTTTTTACTCTTTGGTGATAATCTTTTAAAATGCTAATGACCCTCAAATCATGTATGGAACGAACATGGCAGATATGAAGACAACAAATTTAGCATTATGTTTTACTCATATAGCAAAGTTTTAATATTCTTCTAAAGTATTTTGTTGAAGATTTAAAGAACTATTTCTATAATTATGCAACAGTCATTTCTAGAGTTATGTTGTAAATGATGTTTATGGTAAAATAATTTTTTCATAGTAATTTACATACTACTTGTATCTTCTATTAACTTATGAAATATTTCCCTAGAATTTATTACTATAATTATATCATCTTCAAAATTATAATACATTGTGAAATTTTCACTTCTTTCTTGAATGTTACAAATTCTGTTATACAACACAGTCAAAGTGAATTTGTAATTGCATTTTTTTAAATTCGTCTTTTATGACACAGAACAAGGGATGTTGATCTAGGGATTATTCTAAAATAAAGAAATTTCAAGAGTAATGTTTGTAATACTTATTATAGTATCTGTTTAACTTGTAAATTTCTATGTAAGAGAAATTAGTTATTGGTTGGTTGTTGCAGTACAGGGGTAAAGGCAGATTTGTCAGGTTAGTGATATGTATGGCCAGAGAAGGTGCACCCAGATTACAATTCTTGTTTAGGCTGAAGACGGTGCATAGGGCTAAAGACTGTGGCAGTAAGTTAATGCTAGTCGTCTGGAAGAGAAGAGCTGTTTTAACAGCACAGCTGGGGGAGTAGGTCCTAGATGAAGTGGTTGCTTGTATGTAAGGAATACTGTATTTATAACTCAGATATTTCTGATTGGCAGATGGTATGTTCTGTATAATGTGATGTTATTGTCAGACAAATGACCTTCAGGTGCTTCAAGAGCCTTAATTATCAAAGGAAGAGATTAAATTCTAATCTAGTTAGTAAGCATCATTTACCAAGGCAAAGAGCAATGATGATATATGGTTTCAATTTTTTTTTATCATTAAGGTCGAGGGGGAGAGTACTCTGATTAACCCTTAACTCTTAATTTAACCAGAAATTTAAATTAACTTTACATTTATGGAACATTTTGTTTATGTCATACAAATTGTGCTGGCAGTTCTTAATATTATTAGTATGAATATTATTTTCACTAGATAATACAGATCTACCTTGAGAGCAAGAAGCATATCTTATTTGCCAACCAGTCTATATAATTATTTAGAACAGTACTTAGGACATTCTTAGGACATGCTCAATGAATATTTTTTGATTGAAAGGATGAAAGAATATCTCAAATATATAAAACTGGCCAGGAAAAAAAGAAAATTTTAGAGTTAGAATATGTTTGAATGAAAATTTTAGCTTTATGTCTATAGCTTATTGACATTGATCATAAACGCAGGGTATGGTACCATTTGTTTTCCAGCTAATGGAATTTATTGTGACAAAAATGTGATATCAAACTTCTATATTCTCTGGTGGCTTGTTAACATTTTGGCTTTCTATATTGAACAAATTTTCTTTTAAACAGAAAATTTTATAATGCACTATATGGTCATTTTATCTTCAAAGTTATCTAATAAAGTATTAAATCTCACATGTGTTTTATGCCTTTCATTATTCATTTCTGTTTTCTTGTTTAAATTTCAGGGATAAAATATGAAATCAAATAATATAACATTGTTACCATATTTAGTTAAGGCTTATTGTAACTACATAAATGTGGTTTGGTACTTTACAGATAGACAATAATATGATTGAGAACATTGAAACAATTAAATAATTGAAACATGAAGATGGATTTCCTTCCTATACCTCATCCTGTTTTCTTGTTCAACTTTTTGATTGCTGCAACCTTCAATTTAGATAATTTTTTTCTCTTTTCATTTGAGTGAAATTAAAAAGATGTGGGGTTCCTTTTAATCTCCCCCACACTAAACTCACTGGTTTATTTTCCATTAGCAATGCTTTATCTAATGAATGTTTTTGAGTTCCAATTATCATGTGGTCTATCATCACTTCAGTATTAAAGAGGGTTATATCATAGGGTTAAGTGGCAAAGTAGGTTCATGATCGATGACTGTGACTTTTGTAAGAATTGCTTCAGCAGTAAGAAACTTATGTCACCCATCTTTGGGTGAAGTTTACTGAAGAGTAAATTAATCTTTACTAATTATTTTATTATCAAATAATTAGTTATACTTGTTCTAAACATAGGTATTTGGTGACCTATATGGAAATAGTGACAAGGGCTCAGTGGAGAAAGGATTTTTTAGTAAATGAAGTAGTGAAGTGGACTTATGATGTGATACCATCTAGATTCCTAAAGGTATAATAAGGCTGTATGTCTTCTTAGCTCCAACATGTGCTTAGGATGTGTTTAGTCTTTTGGTTAGTTATACATAGGCATCTGAAGGAAAGAATTTCTTTTCTTTCTATCTTTATATACCTACAAACAGTGTAAAAGTGATGCTTTTTTGGCTCCTACCAGTCTGAGAACAGTTCCTTGTTGTTTGGTCATGTTGGCCTGCTTGTGTTTTATGCCTTATTATGTGGTTCAGCTGCATTCTTGCTGAATTTTATTATTTCCATTGCTTTTATTCCTGGTCACTGAAGTTTTAGAGCATTGAATGCTTACAGCTGTGCTTTTTCCAGATGTTCTTAGCACAAAATTGAAAACTAGTGACCGAGTTGCTTTTTCAGGATTGTAGCTCTAAATAGGCAGTCAGATTTTCACATTCCCTTTTATAGGACATATTCAAGTACATTTCATTATCAGAACTTGTTATTCAAAATTGATCATGTAAAATATGCGAACACATTCCAAGACTCCCTTTTTTGTTGCCTGTTATGGCTCTTCCAGACACATGATAGCATATAGACCAAAGTTGTGAAAAGGTATGTTATATTTTTAGGGATTCCTTAATCAAGATTTTCTTATATTCTATTCTATAATATTTTGAACTGATGTGTTTTTCAAAATCATAGAAGGAAATAATTTATCCAATGTCTCATCTCTCTCTACCCCAAAACAACACAGGCAGAGAGATAGAAGTATGAATCCCAGCTTTTCCACTTATCTACTACATAACACTAGACTATTACTTGATCTCTCTGAGCCTCAGTTTTCTCTTCTGCAAAATGAAAATATCTATTTTTCAGTTTTATTAGGAAGAAATTAGATAAGTGTAATGTATAACTATAAAATTACAGAACCATATGGGTCATTCATCATGGTAATAGCCTGAGTTGACACAGGAAACCACCCAACCATACACCGATTCCAACAAATGTTAGATTAAATCTTGTAATTTTAAAAGCAAACAGATACACGGACACATTGCCACTTTTGCATGTAAGAAAGAGAAAACTTCAGATGCTATGTCTGAAAGATATCTGAAAACCAACGTGGTCAGTGGGAACTAAAGCTTAACTGTAGAGTCATGGAATGTCTGAACTAGATATATGTCTAGATGACTGTGTGCATAATGCCTGAGTTGGGTGGAATGTCGAGGCAGCAGGCCTTTTGAGAAATTGGAGCTGAGCTCTCCATATAAACAAAGGAACCCGGAAAGGATCTCCGGGTAATTAAATCATCTTTAAAGGACTACCCTTTGGCCATGCAGCGTAAAAATCAGACCAGTTCCTAAGGACTATGAGTGAATAAAAGTCTCAATGAAAATCAGAACCCTTAGCCTGTGTTATGTATGGATAGGAGTTTTAAAATTGAACACTTTGCCTCAAGTGTAAAAACCAACTTAAGAAATTAACTTTCAAAACTGGTACAGAACTAGTGAAACTTGTACGGACTCCAAGAAAGGCAACCAGCAGCCTTCATTTGAGCCCACTTCTGCCCAGAGCACATGTCACTCTGGCTAGAGGAGAGCCATGCTCAAATATTACAAAGCATAACAGGGAAAAAAGCAGAACAAGAATGTTTTAGCAGATAGCAGAAACAGAATTAATATTCCAGGAACCACATATAAAGACCAATCTGAAAGAGATCTTAAATATATTTAAAATATTCAAATATTTAAGAGAACAATAGGTTAAGAACATGATATGATAAAAGAACAAAGAGAATATCTAGAGTTGAAAATACAATCACTGAAATAAAATATCAATGATGGGTAAAACATCAGCTTTAAAGATACCTAGATGAGAGAATTGGAAGCCAGATCTGTAGCATAGTATATGTCTTAGACTCAGTAAATATAGGTTCCCTTCTCATTCCTTCCTTCTCACCTCCCTTTATCCACATTTTCTATTGTTGGCACATGAGATAAGAAGAATGAACTCCACTTTTACTTTAATTTGACTCTGCCCATATGAATGAGAAATAGACTATAGACTATTGAATCTTTGAGGCAAGGAAGAAAGATGTAAAATAATGAGCTTATTAATCATTACAGGAAATAATTTATCTGCTATGATGTAAGAGCAGATACATTAAATGGTAGTTTCTGTGGTAATTTACAATGCATGTGTTTCATCTGAGAACAGAGAAAGACTGCCAGGAGTCTAATGCTTTTCACATGAGATTCGAGACTAAATTAATGCATTTCTTAAAAATTGCTGGTTCAGTTAGAAGGTATAATTTGAGTTGAAAATATATAGTATAGTAATTGATTTTACTTTTTGTTTAAATTTCTGTTATATGTGATAAATTAGTACTAACAAGTAAACAGCTATTTTCTCATGTTTAGTAATTTTTCATTTCAAAACTTTTATTAATGTTTCCCATAGTTTCTGAATCAGAGATTTCCCAAGAAGCTGATGACATGGCAATGAAAAAAGAGAAATATATTGATGAACTGAGAAAAGCATTGGTGTCCCGAGCAGGACCAGCTGACACATACAAGTTTAATTTTTCTAAAGAATCTAGTCATTTCTCCTTTGAGAAAAACCTGAAAGATGTTTCAGTAAGTAAAACTTTCCATAATGTTATGTGGTAAAATATTAGAGCATTCACTGAGAAATTATCTTTAATATTTAAAT